ATCAGAGGAGTCCTCAGAGAGGAAGACCGTATAGTGTCGCATAGGCTTTACCAGGCTGAGGGAAACAGGAAGAGAAAAGGAAGTTATCGAGTTGTCACATCCAAAGCTCCAGAGGAGAGAGAAACCAAGCGATTCCTAGGCTCTAAATAATCTCTGAACGTGACTGACTGCCAGCACAAAGAGCTCTGCAGGTAAATGTTGAGCTCTACTTTTCAGGCAGAAAATACAACTCTTCTAAAAATGTCTAGGGTGCCACCTCGGCGGGAAGGGTACTAAGACCTGCAATCACACCCGTATTGCAAATGAAGCCAACAGAGACCCACCTTTCCCCCACTACATTTTCTAGAGTCGGACATCTTTGTGTTCCTTAGAAATTCATCTTTGCTCCTCAGATTCTCTGACTACAAGCAAACAAATATTAAACCTACCTCTCCACTTTGTAGATATATAGACTGACATTACTGTGATAGATGAGGGGAGGTGACTCGAGGGTAACAATTCCGACTTGTATCTGTTTCTGGGGTCTGAAATTGCTTTGCACTAGAATAAAACCAAAACTGTCCAAGGATTTATACGACATGAGTTTGTCAGGTAAGGTGTATGTGCTTCTCTCCTCAGTGGTCTGGCAGAAAAGGGTCTCAAGCTGATTTCTCCTGCACCACAGGATGGTAACCTTCAATCTATGAATTCGTTAGCAGTGGCCTGAACAAAAATCCTTTCACAGATGAAAACTTAAATTCAAAAGTGCCTCTGGAAACACACTTTAGCTGTAATTAAAAAAACACAAACCAACAAAAACCCCAACCACCACCAAAACCATTTCACCAGATATTGGCAAGAACATCTTGGTCATCTTTATTTTGTACACAGAGGTCAGATCTCCAGGATTTGTTCCTGTGCCTGATGAAGACCATGCCTACATTTTTAGGGAATGTAAAACTAACTGTGCACACCTACGTAGGCCTGGGTAAACATACACTGGCTGGGGGATGAAAGAGAACTATTTAAAGCTTGCTGAATTTATGATTTTTTTTTTTTTTTGTATTTATTGTAGCTATCAGTTGCTTCACGTCATTTTAACCAAAACCCCGGTAAATTACTCTTTTCTGCATGAAGTAGAAGTTTCTAAGATTCACCATTTCCACTGGAGCAAATTCAGAAGTGGCTCTCCCTCCTTTGAACACTTAAATGCACTGTCAGCTGTAGGAAAAAAGGAAGGAGTGCAGGAGCAGGGTACTTAAGCAGAAATACTCTGGAACAAAAAGGTTGAAGAGTATGAAGAAATTAGTGGCAAATATTGCCTCATCTGTAATGCTAAAATCCCCTAATCTTTAGTAAAGCATGAAGCAAGGGCCAACTGTCCATTCCCTCTGAAACACTGGAGCTCTGGATGGCAGAGGAGCTTATAGAAAACACATTCGCACAAATTAAATGTTAAGACAAATGCTTCACAAGTAACTGAAAGCAGTAGAAGCACATCAAGATTTACCAGTACCAACCAGAGGCCTCTACACCACAGCCCGGTGCTTTGCATCTACTAAAATTCCAGGACAACATTGTGTAGAGCCACCAAAACTATATGCACTTATGATAAAGCATATACTCAATTTTTAACAGTTATTTATTGTTTCCTATTTATTCTTCCCATTTCAGTTGTGTTCTGGCATATCTAAGTGTGCACGAGTGGAAATGAAAAAAAAAACAAAACAAGAAAACCTCTTTTCAACAGCCCTATAAGCCACCTCTGTGTGTCTTAGGACCAACAACGGGCTGATGAACACTGATAGATGTTGCCAGAGAGCATCACCTGCAGGTCTCCTTCTCCTTCCCCACATCACTAGAACAATGGAAAAGAAATCACTGGATCATAAGAGCAAACACTGTTTCTAGCTGTCCGGATGAGGTCTCTTCCCAAAAAACATCTTCATTTTATCAACCACACATCACTGCTGATACCCCAGTTATTGTAGTGAACCAAAACCTACATCGCGAATGACACAAAGCAATACACAATTGAGATGGGAGCCTAATTTTGCTACTACTGAGGTCCAGAATAAAATTTATTATTTCAGTGTAAGCAGACTCAGGCTCATGATGTGCAACAAAGGACAGGCCCCGATCCCGAAGCCATCGCGGAGCAATGCAAACGTATCACACCGCTACGCACGTTATAGATAGATGAGGATGCGCTGAAATCAGAACAGGAGCAAAAGCATGGATTGAACGAGAAAGAATTTGAGTTGTTACCTTTATTGTACAGACATACTAACAAACTGCCTCTGGTGGCGCTGGAATTCATCATCAGCCTTCACTTTCAGTTCTTTTGTCTCAATCACTAAATAACTACATAATAAAGTTATGAAAATCAATCTATAAGATCAGGTCAGAGAAAGAGAAATTGGACACTGCAA